CATTCTCTTTTATCTCCTTGAGTTTTTTGATAACTATTTTGAATTCATTGTCATTTAGATTACATATTTCTGTGTCCTCAGGACTGGCTTCCAGGTACTTATTGTTTTCTCTCTAGTCTGGAGATTTGATATAATGTTTGGTATTGCTAGAGGGGGTGGGTCTTGTCTTATGCATCCTGATATGATTTGGTTGCAGTTACTGCCTATCACCACTGGGTCGCGGTCAAGAGCTGCATACTCTGAGCCCTCTGCCTTCAGCTAAGATCCCAGGCAGTGGAGCTGCAGTGGATAGGTGGGGGGAGGGGCACTTTCTCCTTCATGCTCTTGGGGTTTTCTCACTCTGCTTTCACTATCTGCTCTCCTGGGGTATTGGCTTGATGAGGTCACCCCCTGTGAAAGCTCTCTTCCCCGTAGAGGTCTTCCCTCTAGGCTGCACAGACCCTCCGGCATCCTTGATGTTCCCGCAAACGAACATCCCCTCCCTCATTCCTTCCCTCACGGATCCTCCCACGGTTGCAGATCACAGTGTTGGGGGAGGGAGCGAAGTTTTCTCTAACCCCATGCCAGCTCTTCTAAGGGGGGCTCCAGTCTCTCTGCCCTCCATTGTATGGCTGCGTGTGTCTCTCCAACGTTTTTGTGTTGTGTTAGGATGTCCTCTGTTGGAGTATGAATGTCCCTTTTCATTGTATGTTGGAGGGGGTAGAATCCTGGGCAAGTTCACTCCACCATGATGCTGACATCACTCTGGCAGTTACTTTTTAAAAAAATGTCCTAATCCATTAGGGAAGAAATGTTGGCATTTGGGATTTGCTTTAAAATACTCCAGTTAAAAAAAAATGGGGGAGAGGAGAGGAGCAGGTGAAATGAGACTGGAAACATGGTAACAATTGTTTAAGCTGGGTGACAGATACATTATACATTATATGGTTAATTCTACTATTCTCTCTACCTTTGGGTAAGTTTGGAAATTCCCAAAATAAAAAATTGTAAAATAAAAATGGTCTCATTAATTACTTGGAGAGAGGGTAACATGAGGACGAGTTAGTTGATTATAAATAAAGGTTATTTGGGAGAACCAGGGCGGGGGTTTCACTGAACATCTGTGGTTTATGGGAGTATACAGGTGAGGCAGAGGGAGTGGAAGATCAGGTTCCAAATGGAATATGTATTTGGTGGTACAAAGATATTGCCTCTTGACCTGAATTCTGCCCTGCAGGCCCTGGGCATAACCCATGTGCTCCTGGCCAGCCTCCCACAGTGTGCTAGTCAGCATTATCACTTAGTTGGCTCCATCACAAGTCAGTTGAGTCAACATGTAGGGTTGCAAGAAATGGATAGCAGCCCAACCATTCCTGTAGGACTGATGTACCTGAGTTCATGTGTTTCAATCAGGAAATACTATTCAATCAGTAAATTTAGAAAAAACTCAAACAAATCAGCAAAGTGAAAACAATATTCCTTATTTCTCTTGAATATTTTGGACCATTAAGCTTTTGTTTTCATCTGTCTAGACTGAGTCACAAATTCAGTTAGAATTTGTAGTTCTAAGTATGATTCAACAGAATCACCTTTTTCAAATGCTAATAATCATCATGGACTCAAATAGCAAATTTTTAAAAGGTGGCCATTTCTATGGGTGATTCAGAGTAGATGTAAGACAGAATTTCTTACCCTGGCATTTTAACCTTCTGAAATAAAAACTGCATACCAAAGCTTATTTTGTTAGATTTCTTTGGCTTCTTGTTTTCAGATGAACCAAGAAGAGAGGAATAATGTATTTCTTCCTGGGAGAAGAGTCACCTGTGAGGCATTGAGTCTAGATTTGGGGTTAGTGGGACTGACTGTGGAAGGGAGGGAGAAGGGCCTGAGCAACCAGCCCTCTTCCATGTGGTTGGGATGGAGATGAGGGGATGGGGCAACGTGGATGCCTTTATCTGATTCTTCCTCGTTAGTTCTTACTCTTTCACTCGGAGATTTCAGTGAGATACGGGGGAGAACAGTTTGATGAGCAAGCAAAGTGTGTGTGTGTGTGTCTCTCTCTGTGTGTGTGTGTAGGAATGGGCCTTGTAGTTGGCTTGTGAGTTCAAACTGGAGAGCAGAAATAAATTGCCAATAGAATTAATCTATAGACTCAATACATGGACAACACTAGCTAGCATTTATAGAGTGGTTACCATGTGCCAGACGCTGCCAAGCACTTCCCTTGCACGATCTCACTTTAACCTTACGAAACCTGCGAGGTGGGGTTCATTAGTCCTAGCATTTTACAGTTGGGAAAACTGGAGCAAACAGGTCAAGTAACCCATTTAACATCTCAGTTAGCAAATGGCAGATGTGGGATTTGAACTAAAGGAGTTTAACATCAGAGTCTGTAACCACTGCAATATCCTGAGAGAGACAGACCAGCACCAAGACATCAAGAGATAATTTGAAAAAAAATGTTTAATGGAACTATGCAAACACACGCTAAAGTAAAGAGAATAGTGCAGTAATACCCATTAGCCAGCTTTAACAATTATCTATATTTTTCCAAATTTGTTCTTCTCTCTCCCCTATTTGATTTATAAGTATTTTAGAGCAAATTCCAAACTATCCTGTCATTTTGCAGCAAGAGTTAATTTTAATCTGATTGAAAATATTAATGTGAACAGAAGAACACGTGACTCTCAAACGTGCGAGGGGCCCCACATGGTAGCATAAGAGCCCATGTGGTAACACAGGCTGGAAGACAGGCGCCATCCGTGCACCACAAACATTTGGTTTGCTTGGTGCGTACATCCTCTTTTGGAGAAGGATGCTTCAGACTCTCAGAGCTAAATTTGTTAAACCACCTCCCTTTCCTCTGAATCCATGTCCAAAAAAAAAAAATCTAAAAATTTGATTTTCTGTGAAGCTTTGCCTAAAGGGAAATACTGGGCTGAGCTAGCCCACAGGAATTTTCAGCCAGTCTGAGTGTTTTGTCTAAGTCTAGAACATGTACTTCAACTTCTGGTGAGTTTGTGAGCATGACTCCTCTTTGAATGCTGAGAACTCTGGAGAGAGGGATAAGAAGCTTGAGTTTCTAGACCCGTAAGCCCGAGGGGCAGCCTCGAGGCCATGGAGATGCCTATCACCCTTCTGCCTGGGCGTCATCATCGGCCTTTGCTGCCTCCACTCGGCAGCCTGAATCCTTCTTCACATCCCCTTCCATGAAGCTACCTTCATCCTTCTACTTCAAAAGTAAATTATTAAGAATATAATATGTCTTTCGGGTGTTCTAGTATTTTGATTGGAATTGCTATGATATATAAACGCTCACAGAGTTGCATCTGTTGAGTGGTCTCCACTTAGTTCTATATTTTGATGGGGAAAATCATCAGAACACCTGTCTCTCTCTCTTTCTTTTTCTCTTATAGCTAGATAGATGATAGATAGATCCTTATTTTCTATATATATAACATAAAATTTGCCATTTTAGCCATTTTAAGGTATATGATCCTTATTTTATTTATAGACAACTCTAAGGTAGAATTCCAATTTCTCAGATAACCAAGGATGAATTCAAACATGCATGACCTCAAGGCTATCTGAATTCAAATTTCCAAAATCTAAGTACATTTGAGAAAACATCCAGAGTATATGTATCAAGATAAAATAGAATTAAATTTATACACACTTACTGGAAAAATGTCAGCTAATACATGTTTAAATCCTGCCTAGAAAGATCAAATGGAAACTTTTTTATTGATTTGTATATATATTCAGGTTATCTAGGTTTTGGGAACCAATTAAAGAAAGACATTTTTGGGGCTGGCCCTGTGGCATAGTGGTTAAGTTCAGCACACTCTGCTTTTGTGGCCTGGGTTCGTGGGTTCGGATCCCAGTACCAACAGCATGTGTCAGCCATGCTGAGGCAGCGACCCACATACAAAATAGAGGAAGATTGGGACAGTTGTTAGCTCAGGGCTAGTCCTCCTCAAGCAAAAAAAAAAAGAGGAAGATTGGCAACAGATGTTAACTCAGGGCCAATCTTCCTCACCAAAAGAAAAAAAGAGAGAGAGACACATTTGGTTTAGAAACGTAACACGCTTCAAATGTAGTTGATTTCAATTTAAACCCTATGTTTTATACCATAATTACATGAAGCTTTAGCAATTTAATTTTAGTGCAGAAATCCACACTCTTGTATGGAATTCAAAATGACATGCCTCAAAATTTAAATTTTCATTCTAAAGTAATGGTACTGAAGACAAAAAAAAAGGAAAATTGCATTCTGGAAAATTGAAGTAAATATTAAAATTTAAAATTTCATTATGAGATAGATTTTAAATGTTTTGAAATTTAGAAAGCATTTTATACAAAATTCTCAAATTTAGAATGCTTTAGAAAAACAGTGAAACTTATAAATGAGAATGACGGAGGGGATATTGGTTTGCCTGTCACTTGTTTAAAACAAGGATTTTTGCTATTTTAGGCAAATTTTAAACTGATGTTTCCTTTTTCTTTTCCTTCTTTGAAGGTCCTAGTATCTTAATTATTTTGTAGTTTTGAGACTATTCTTTTTATCTCAAAGTTAAATTTCTCTTTTGGAGTTAAAGACTCTGCTGGGTAATACTGGTGGGGTGGTCATGGGGGTGAAGGTGCTGTTTGTTTACACATAATTTAATTCACATAAATTTTAGCTTTAAACAAATATATTCACAATGTTATTCTGTCTTTCTGTCACCAAACAGATTAAAGCAAAATATTCAGATGGAATTCTTCACGTTTTATCAATAAAAGATAGAGGATTTTCATCAAATACTTTTTTAATTATTTGAAGTGTGCCTTTCCAAATTGCTAATCATTTTGGAGGCCCTGGAATGTCTGAACATCATTTTTTTTCTTTTTTGGTGAGGAATATTTGCCCTGAGCTAACATCTGTTGCCGATCTTCCTCTATTTTATGTAGGAGGCCACCAGAGCATGGCTTGATGAGCGATACTAGGTCCATGCCCAAGATCTGAACCTGCGAACCCTGGGCCGCTGAAGTAGAGTGTGCGAGCTTAACCACTACGCCACTGGGCTGGCCCCTGAACGTCATATTTTGTTTCAACTAACTTTTAAGCCTGTATGAATCACAACACTTCAAATTCCTTTTGAGGGAAAATATTCTTTACTTGTAAACAGGAATTACCTCCCACGTTTACATGAGTTGCTTGTAGTTAAACACAATTTTGTATCTATTTAGCGTCTGCTACTTGAATAGGATGCTTGATTTTAAATACAGACGGTTTCACCCAACTTGCCTTGTACAACCTAAGTTTACACCAAGGACAGAGTAACAACATTTTGATAATTTCCCTTTACTCCAAAGTGAAGGCTCCCACCATAGAGGGTTAATTTTAATATAACAGACTGCTTCCAAGGAAGAGGGATTTTTTAATCCATTTAAAAAACTTTGCATGAAATTGACATGACATAAAATTAACCATTTTTCGATGAACCATTCAGTGTCATTCAGTACATTCACAGTGCTGTGCAACCACCACCTCTGTCCACTTCCAAAATATTCCCAGAAGGAAACCCTGTATCCATTAAGCAGTTGTTCCGCATTCTCCCTCCCTCCTGCCTTGGCAACAACCACTCGGCGTCCCGTCTCTGTGGATTACCTGTTCCGCATATTTCACGTAAACTGATTCATACACTATGTGACCTTTCGTGTCTGCCTTTTTTCACTTACCAACCCACAGGGATGGATTTAGGTCTAGGGTTGCCAGACGGCGGATGCTGTGATGAGCCACACAGATCCTCCCTCAGGAAGGAAGGCATTATTGGGCCAGGTGCTGGCAGTGCTCCAGCAGACAACCCTTGTCTGTCAGTCCCCGTCCTAGACAAGCTCAGCCAAAGAGAGCTGCCCTACCCGAGGTCATAGTCCCTTCTCAGGGGGCCCTCACCCAGAGGTTGCTTATCATGGGGTGGAAAGGCGCAGTCCTCTCACACCAACCCAGAACAGCTTAGAAGGGTCCTTCTATGTCTAGAACTTTCCAGAGGGCTGGCTGAGGCCCAGTCCCGCGCCCTTCTCTTCCTTTCTCTTCTGCAGGTGCTGATTCCTTGCGCACTCCCTGCCAAACCTCCTGTCCGCTGACTCTATCTGGAGCCCAGTCTCTGGTGCCAGGTCTCCTGCAGGTGACACCAGGTGCTGCAGTGGAGGAGGAAGGCCACCGCCTCCAAGCTGAGGAGTTCGCTCTTTTGCTGCTGGAGGCTTGCTGTGGGCACTAGACATCTTGTCTCCAAGTTTTTAATGTTTTCCCCTCAAGGTCTTTAAAGCAGCCTCTTCTGGGTATCTGTGGGGAGGGGGCAACTAAGGATTTTACCTTTATTTGTCAGTCTTTCCTGCAGAAATCATTCTCCCATCTGGCCAAGATGTGCATTTTCAAGGATTCTCTCACTTTTTCAAGGACACCAGTGGTGCCAGGAATCTTGAAGCGGATAGACTCAAATTTGGGGTCAAACTGTTATACCCGTTCTTCATCTTTCTACCACGTTTTCTGAGGGCAAAGAACCATCACTGTTTAACACAGCGTGGGCAGGGCTGGGTCTCCCTGGGACTGAGGCCTCCTCGCGAGCAGTCGGAGTAGCCTATGGCCTTAGAACAGGACGCTTCGTCTTGTGGGGCGTACGGGAAAGACCGGACAGACGACGGTGGCTCGGGTGCAATCCCTACCTGGTGCCGAGGGCTTTCCAAACTGAAAACAGCCAGGCGGAGAGAAGGGCGAGCAGGGCAGAGCCTGGGGGCTGGGCGCTGTGGGAGAGGAGCGGAGACGAGACTTAGCCAACCTCACAAGGTCACCGAAGGGCGTTCAGGGCCCGGACTGAAAGGGGCCTCAGCGCGGGCCCAGGAGAACATCAGGCATCCTTCGATTTGTTGAGCGGGTGACCTGTCCCCGTCTGAGCGCTGTGCCCTGCGGGGGACCGCCCAGCCCTCCCGGACCCGCGCTCCCCTGCTCGCCTCTCGGCTCCTGCTCCCCCTGTCTGCCCGGCCGCTCCCTTCCCAGCTCTGCGCCCCGACTCACGCTTTGCCTCCGTTACTGTGCCCAACAAGACAGTGCCAGCCGTCCATCGGAGGGGATGGCGACAGGGCCAAAGCGGCCCACGCACGTGCTTCCCCAGAGGCAGCTCTTTCTCTGGGGAACGGCGCTCCCGCCATTTAATTTATGCCATCAAACTGTTTCCAAGATGGATTTATTTAAGTAGATAGAAACCAAAATAAATAATAAAATTGAAAAACACACACTCTTCAATTTTCGTCATCTATTTAAATTACTTCCTTTATATAAGTTAAGAAATATATGTAATGGCCTCTGTACTTTTCCACGGTTTTCAGGCTAATAAATCAAGTAGCAACGCTTATGACATCAAATGGAAGCGTAGAACCATAACCAGGGTGTTGGGCACCTCTTGACCGACTGCTCAAGTGAGCATCGCCCCAACAGGTTAGCGGTCAGCTGGAGCCAGGTTCAACCTCCTATTTGAATATTGCGACGGCCCTTTACGATCTCACAGACACTGTAGCCGCAGCCGCTTGTCTGTTGAGTGAAAGCAAGCTTTCCAGCCCGTTTCAGATCCCCAGCCCCATCTCCAAGAAACTGCAGTGCGTTTACAACGGAAGCCCACGAGGTGGCAGCAGGAACTACAGGAGAGTGTATACACAACCCTCAGGGAGATTTACCTGCTGCTGTTACTTGTGCAGAACTCACATGGAAAGGTTGCCGGGTCTGGCCTGTTTATGAATCTCTGAGTGTTACGGAGCAAGAAGTAATATAAATGAATGGAAAACTAAAAACCCGCTGGCATAAACTTGGTTATCTATTAACACTCAGATTGCTAGGACCTGGGCTTAAACTCGAGGCAAACCTTTGGGGGCCTTCACAGCAAATAGGAATGGTGCTCGTGATTTCTCCAATGTTATGGCTTTGGATGCATGTCTTCTCCTAGTTTGTAACTTTGTGTCACCTTGCATGCAGCAGGTGCTTAATAAATGGTTATTAGTTAGAGTTTGACTGGAGTAGGAACAAGCGTGGCATGACTGATGGCTCCAGGTTGAGGTTTGTTTCAGTTACGTATAAGAGGGAGAGACTTCGGAGCGTGCAGAATGCTTGGGACTGTAGGGGGCGTGGTCTTCCAGAGGAAGAGGTGGGATTCCAGGGCACATCCAAGGGGCTGAGAATGAGACTGTTCTGGGCGTCTGAAACGTGTTACAGAGGAGACTTAACTACGACTGGAGAGCTAAATGTAGGACCAGAATTAGGCGCGGCAGGATAGTTCAACATCGAAAAGGCAGGGTGAGGCAACGGAGGACACACCGTAGGAATCAAGACGACGGGTGCCTCGGGGCACAGATGAGTGCAGACCATTTCAGTTTGTAATTTTCCAGTTTTGCTCTGGGATGAGTACTGCTTCTTTTCCATCTTTGTGCTCCACGAGAGTTTGAGCACTGCGCCGTGCTTATACAGCTGACACCCAACAAATATGAGTTAAGTGGAATAACCTTAGGTGGTCACAATTGGCTATGGAGGGTGATGGGCTAGGCTCTGACCAGTGTGTGTGTACTTTATTGACAAGAGTAACGACAGCCAGCCTTTGCAGAGCGCTTCCTCTTGTCCATGACCTGCAGTGCCTGGTCGCCATGTACTGTTTCAGCTCACCCTGCCTGCAGCCTCGCGGAGGCTCTGTGATGCCGGAGCCCAGGCGTCTACCAGCCTGGCCATTGGCACCTGTATTAGTTTGCTGGGGCTGACAGAACAAACATCACACACTTGGCGCCCAGGTGACAGAGACGTATTTTCTCACAGCTCGGAGGCTGGGGGTCTGAGATGATGGCGTCGGCAGGTTGGTTTCCTTCTGAGGCCTCTCTCCTTGGCTTGTGGACGGCTGTCTTCTCCCCTTGTCGTCACATGTCCTTCCTCTGTGTCAACGTCCTAATCTCCCCTTATTATGGGGAGGCCAGTCATGGTGGATTAATGACCTCGTTTAACCTTAATCACCTCTTTAAAGGCCCTGTCTTCAAATACCGAGGTAGTGGGGTTAGGACTTCTACATAGGAAATTGGGAGGGGGCACAGTTCAGTCCATAACAGCGTACCTCAGAATTCCCAAGCCTTGGGAGCAGGGCTGGGAGTAGGATAGGGGAATGAGGGGCCTGGCGTGCAACATTTCAGCAGCCGTCACTCTCAGGGCTGTGCAGGGCTGGGTCTGCCCTGAGAGTGAGCCCCTCCTTAAATGGTGCACCCTCGGTGCCTCACCCAAGCCCGGCCCTGCGTGGGAGCTTGAGAAAATCGCAGCCTCTGGCGGCTCAGCCCCAAAGCTTATGATTCCGAAGATCTCAAGGAGGGCTAGGAATCTGGAGTTTCAGTAAGGATCCCCAGAGTTCTAGTGCAGGTGTGTAGGGTGACCCTTTGAGAAACTCCACCTGTGCCAACAGCCTCATGGGAGAGTCCCTTCCATCCAGTGACATAATTTCTCCCTTTCTGTTTGGTTTTGGGAGTAGATGTTGCTGAACTCATTGGTTCACTGTTTGAACTTTTAGGGGATGCGGTGGGATTCTGAAGTCCCTCCTGGAAAACTCCTGTAGTCTGAGTCGCTGGGCTTTCGGCTTACAGGGTCATGGACCAGCTCCTCTTTGTGGAGGCCTTTCTGTCCATCCCAGATGGCAGAAGCTCTTGGAAACACACAACCGTGTTGAACCAGTGCATCAGCAGCTGCCATTACTGACGGGGTGGACGTGCATTGTTTTAGCTTTGCCAGCATCCATTCCCCTTTCTGCGGCTCCAGTTGGTTTTCCTTAGGAAACTCTCCCACTGTTAGTCCAACTGGCTTGCTTTTCCTGTCTCACTTGAGCACTGCAAGGGTATGCATGAGACTCAAGCCTGCTCGGGAGGCACGTTCCCTCCCTCTGAATGAGCAGTGGGTTCCATTTCAGGCCAATGAAAGTCGGGCCCAGGTCTGTTGATCAACTGAGCGGGAAGGAACTCTTCTCTTTCTGCTGAGATTATCACTGGAAAAGATGGTGAAACCCAGAGCTACTGGGGGCCTGAGAGTGTCACCAACTCAGAGCCCAGGGAGGAAAAGAAACTGTCTTAGTCCGTTCAGGCTGCAATAACAGAAATACCACAGACTGGGTGGCTTCTAAACAACAGACATTTGTTTCTTAGAGTTCTGGAGGCTGGAAGTCTAAGATCACGGTGCCAGCAGATTCAGTGTCTGGTGAGGACCCGCCTCCTGGTTCATAGACGGCCATCTTCTTGCTGTGCCCTTACATGGTGGAAGGGTGAGGGAGAGCTCTGGGGTCTCTTTCATGAGGGCAATAATCCCCTTCAAGATGGCTCCCTCCTCACGACCTAACCACCTCCCAGAGGCTTCACCTTCACATACCATCAGATTGGGGATTAGATTTCAACATACGAATTTGTGGGGGACACATTCACAAACATTCAGTCTGTGGCAGAAACCAACCCTTATTTTATCTTTTGAGTGTCTGGATACAGTTATGTCTAAAGCTGGCGTAACTTCTGACTTTTGCAGGTACTTGAGCCAAAAAATTTCCTTTTATACTTAAACCAGTTTGAGTGATGGTGTTGTGATTCACAATTAGGAACTGATTAATACCCAGAGGATAAAGGTCACAAAAATCTAGACAAAAAAGTGCTAGAGTTGACACACACTAGGGCTGGAGCCCCTTCATGGTGGAGCTATAGGAAGCAAGTTTTCTTGAGGAAGAAGCTCCTGATATATTCTATACCTCTTCTAGCCTCCCCCGCGTATTTTTTTTCTTAAAGATTTTATTTTTTTCCTTTTTCTCCCCAAAGCCCCCCGGTACATAGTTGTATATTCTTCGTTGTGGGTCCTTCTAGTTGTGGCATGTGAGACGTTGCCTCAGCGTGGTCTGATGAGCAGTGCCATGTCCGCACCCAGGATTCGAACCAACGAGACACTGGGCCGCCTGCAGCGGAGCGCGCAGACTTAACCACTCGGCCACGGGGCCAACCCCCCTCGTGTATTTTTATTCTCTCCAAGGACATCCTTTTGAAAGGGCAGACTTATTCTCAAGTATGAAGGAGTTTAGAAAAGAATCTCTGCTAAATTTTGAGGAGAGCCAAGGTGTTTGCCACTTGAAATTGAAGAATGAGCAAAGACTGATTATTAGGGTTTTCTCAGAGTCCACGTTTGGGGGGAGGGAAGGAAGTGAAATCGATCAGTGGACTGCACCAAATAAAAACAGTCTGAAAATGTAGAAGGTATTTTGCATTATGGGAAACCACAGGGTGCGATGACAGGATTCTCAGATGGCAGATAGGATCTCTTTCTCTTTGGGGAGGAGAAACCACGCAGAGAAACAGAAATAAAAATCTCACCTGACTGAATCAAACTTTGGACTGTTGTGTCTGGCCTGAAATAGAACTGCTCTTTTATAATTAGCTCTCTCGTCACAATTACCCTTTTCTTGCCTCTTAAGCTCTCTCAGTGGGACTGTATGGTTTGAGTCTGAAAGTTCAGAATCCAGTTAACTTAAGTAAAAAAAAAAAAAAATGATTGACAAGTGATGGAGTAGTTCACAGAATGATGGGAAAACTAAACAGCTAGAACAACTAGATTTTGGAAAATGCTGGAACAGGAAAGCTCCAGGCATCTAAATAGCAACTACTGTTAGACCTTCTCTTGAAGATGCTATCTTGAAAATAATTCATGTCTCAACTCCAGCCATGTTCCATCTTTGGGTCCTTGTCCTTAAGATGCAGATTTCAGGAAGAGTGTCTGATTGGCCCACATGGGTCACATGCCCACCCCTTGTTGGCAGGTAGGGGTGAGGGAAGGGGGGTGTACATTCATTGTTGTATCCAACCCATGGGACTGGAGGGGTGTTCTTCAAATGAAAGCAAGGCGCTGTTACCATAAGGACGGGAGGCATAAAGCAGGACACAGAAGCAGGAGACCCGATGGGAACCCTTGGCTGGCTTTTACCTTGGTGACATCCAGTCATTCCACTCCCCGAGGTGACCTCTCCAGAGATAGGAGGCATGCCGGGTGTCCATCTTGGGTTGCTTGGGGTGAGTGGCGATGCTGGCTCAGGGTCCTGGCTTGTTTCAGAAGATGTCCGTTTTCTCTAAGGAAGACGAGGCTCTTTAGCTTTTCTCTACTGGATTTGGGCAGCTCATAAATAGACTTCAGAAATTAAAAATAACTTTTTGTACAAACTCTTGGTTCACTAAACAGCTCTTTTCCTGCTTTTATGCATTTATTCAACACATTTATGAAGTGTCTACCACGTACCTGCACTGTTCTAGACATTGTGATAACGGCACATCCTTCTATTTACTAACTCCCTACCATGGGTCTGCACTATTCCAGGTGGCTGGGATATTGCAAAAACAAAACAAAGTTCCTGTCTTCATGACTGGAACCTACATTCTAGTTCACCATTGTATCCCCAGTGCTTGGCTCAATAAATATTTGTTGAATAAATAATGGAATGACACCAGCTTGTGCAATTGCTGCAAGCATAGCTTTTCTGTGGAATGCACTAATGATGTGCTGTTGGAGCATAAGTATTTTGATGTCTAATTTTTCCCACCCTGCACATGCATTTTCCTCCAACTCTCAGGAGGCATCAGTAAATTCTTAAAGAGAGAGGACTTCAAACTATACTAGTTGTTTTCAAAGCAGACACTAGAGTCTTCCGCACTGTAGAGAAATCTAAAAATAAGGGCCAGCAGTTCTGCCTTGAAAACAAGCAGCTGATGGCTCTGTGAGTCACCAGTTTCCCCCGGGGACTGCCTACTCCCCCGACATCAGGTGCCCAGGGGCTCTTGGTAAATGTCAGATGTTGCTGCCTGTGGTGGGTGGTGTTGGCATCAGCTTGGGCAGGAGGAACAATCTAGCAGCACTCTAAAAGAAGGAGAGCCTGCGAGTGATGTCTGAAACAGGAAATGGGGTTGCCAAAATGTGGTTTCAGCCGCCTAGAAGCTGAAGCTGGAAGGTTTGGCCACATTTGGTCCAGTTTACAAACAAACAGGGAAATCAGGAAGGTAGTCAACTTCTGGGAAGATGAGTGCTATGAACACACAGATCTAATAATCCTTAGAAAACTACTAAATAGAATACTCACATCAGTTAAAAAGAATGAGGCAGTATTATGTGTCCCAATAAGGATAGATCACCAGGACATATTATTAAGTGGAAAAAGCTTGCAGATAGATGAATGCATACCTTTTATATTAAAACAAAACTCACTACCAAAAATAACAACACACACAGTGATCCTATATATACATCACAGGGGCACATATGTGTACATGTGTCTGGAAAAAGGTTTGTACCACACTTGACAACAGTGGTTGCCCTGGGGAGGGTAGAAAGGAGACAGGATTGTAGATGGTGGTCAGAAGGAACTGTAACTATTATTTCCATTTTTTAGAGGAATGTTTCATTTATAAGTTTTCAAATTTAAAGTTAGCTTTAAAGAAAAACATTAACAATTGTTAGAGCAGGAAAACAGTACACGTGATTCTTAGTAAGGCAAGCATTAATCTCCTGGTCATGTTTGTTAAATAGATATGGTTCTATGACTTTCTAGAAATATCCTGTCTGAAACAGACCACATAAAAGATGCTCCCACATTGCAGAGGTACAAATGTGAAAAGAAATATTGTCATATGTGCGCCAAGTAGTACTGGGACTGACATTTGCCCAAAGGGCCTATATTATTTGGATTTAACCAATAGTGTTGAATTCTGATATTTCTAGAGTGCTTTATAGTTTATTTGTTTGTTTGTTTTTGAGGAAGCCTGGCCCTGAGCTAACATCCATGCCCATCTCCCTCTACTTTATATGTGGGACACCTGCCACAGCATGGCTTGATAAGTAATGCGTAAGTCTGTGCCCAGGATCTGACCTGGCAAACTCGGGACCTCCGAAGCAGAGTGCGCAAACTTAACCGCTCTGCCACCGGGCTGGCCCCAGTGCTTTATAGTTTTCAAATGCTCTCATTTGAGACTTACAACTGTGTCTAGTAGGTAGAGCCGGACTGATCATCTCCACTTCTCAGATTAGAAAATTGAGGTTCACAAAAATTAAGTGATTTGTCTAAGATCGAAGTCAGCACAGGGGCAGCCAGAGCGCCTGTATGTTCCAGGAACTGAAAGCTTTCTCTGATGTCGTCATTCTTAACAAATCCAACTCAAATAGTTAACGTGAACTGTCACATCCTAAATTTCATCTTCTTATCGGGCGAGTTTACATTTTGGCAGCTCCCTCTACCACTTTCCCCCTGAACCTAGGTGGATTGCTCAAATGTGACACCCCATTCCAGAAGGGAGTGCATTCTCCCAAGGGGACTGCCCGGCCAGCAGGAAGTCTGCTGTCAAGAACAACGTTCGGCCTCCAGCCTGGCACAGTTGCAAGTGATAAACGACATGGCGCCTGGCTTGATCCCGCAGCCGTGTGCTGCCTGGGGACGGTTGCAACCCCGTTGGCTCCTACTAGCTTTTTATAACACCTCCATAGCCCGTCTTAGCCCCAACTAAGTCAGGGTCCCAGGGACCTTCTCTTATTCTTTCTTATCCCTCAGCAGCCAGCCTCTCAGTGAATATGGCCTTGATAAGTGTCCTGCCTCATAATGTAGTCAGAACAGGACAAACTTAGGTGGAGTAACACACTTTTAAAGCTAACACACCATCCATGAGAATTGACACTTCTGAAAATAAACTCTTGCTCTTCCTCCTTACCCCTGCAAACCTGCTCCTCCCACACTCTTCTCTGTCTGGTCAATGGCAATTCAACCTTCACCACTTATACACCCACAACTTTGGAGTCACTCCTTTCTTTCTTTGTTTTACACCCTCCTTCCAATCCTTCAGTAAATCTTGTTGGTTCTGCCTTCAAATTCCATTCAGAGTCCAACCGTTTCTCACCACCTCTATTGCTACCTACCTGGTGCAAACCATTGTCATCTGTTGCCTGGGCCATTAGAATGGCTTCCACTTGCATCTCCCTAAAATAGCCCTTGGCACCCAGTTTCTTCTCAAGACAGCAGCCAACGGATCCTATTGCCATCCAGGTGGACCGCCTCACTTCCTCTCCTCAAAAACCTGCGAAGTTTGCTCAGCTCACACGCAGCGAAATCCAGAGTCCTTGCAAAGTCCAAGTTCTCACATTCCATTATCTCCTAGTACTCTTCCTCCTGGACCACACTTCTCTAGGGCCCCCGGAATCCATCCTCTTTCTCAGGCACCCTGTCAGACAGCACATTGTGTTGGTGGAGCGTGGGGAAATAGATACTTTCACATGCCGTCAGTGGTCAGAGTGACAATGAGAATCACCTGTTCAGAGGGCAATTTCTCAAGATCCGTCAGAATTAAAAAAGGCATCCTACCTATGACCCAGTAATTCAACGGCCAAACATTTTATTCAGCAGATATACATGTCCAAACGCATAGTTCCAGCATGATTATGCAGCATTATGTCAATACAAAAGGCCAGAAGGAACCTGCACGCCCACCCGTGCGGGTCTGGTTCAATAACTGCGCGATACGCCGCTGTTAAAATGAGAGGAAGACGTCCAGCGCTGACCCCGAACACGCTCCAAGACGCACTGGGTGAGACGAGCCATGGGCAGGAATGTGTGGAGTCCGCCACTGTTTGGGTAAAAGAGAAGGATATGTGTACATATCCTTACAAGTTTGTACAAGCATAAACAAACACATAAACACAGAAATGGCTCTGCAGAATCACAGGAAACTACGGTAGGTTGTCTTTTTTGAGGAGGTTATTCAAGGACTGGGAATCATTGTGAATATAGAACTTAAAAAAACTCCCCTCTCTAATGCGTCGATCCACACTCTCTTGCTGACTTTTACTCTGTGTGGGGCTGAGATGTTAAAAATACGCCCTAAACTCTGCTTTGAAGGCATGGGGTGTGGGTTGGGGTGGCGGTGGGAAGAAGGACTTTTATTTCCTCGAGGAGCGAAGCCAATAAAACGTATGAATAGATGCACCCCAGCCTCGTGCTCTGGGACTCGAGGGCTCTCTCCCCTCCCCCCACCCGGCGCCCGGCGGTGCCCTCGGATTTGCCATCTGGCTGGAGTCCCTGCTTCCTCCTTAGAGGGCAGCAGCGGAGCGTCTCAGGGACGCATGCGCTCCCATTTGCGCCCGGGGAATTAAAAGAAAGAGGAAAAAAAAGCCCCAACAAAACACGCGCCCCAAACAAAACGCAAGTGGAGGAGAGCGCGCCACTCTGAGACCCCGGGCCGCGGAGGCGCCTCCGGCCTCGCCCGCGTCCCCGGCCGCGGCGTGATGCGCACGGACCGGCCCGCCACACCCGGACTGTCCCCGCACCTGGACGCCGGCCGGGTGGCCGCGCCCCCCCGCGCTCGCGCGCCGCCGCCGCTTTCTCGGAGTCTCCCGGCGCCGGAGGGGCACCTCGCTCCCCATGGGGCCGAGGGACTGGCTGCGGACCGCGTGCTGCTGCTGCCCGTGCAAGTGCCTGGAGGAGCCCGGCGTGCCCGAGAAGGAGCCCCTGGTCAGGTGGGTGCGCGCCTGGCCTTGGTTGGGGTCCCCGCGCCGCCGCTGGGCGTCGCGGAGTGGGACACCTGTGTGCTTGTCTGAGCTGGGGAGGCGGGCTGGCTTTAAGGTCACACTGAGGCGCAAGCTAAGCCTCTTAGCCTCTTACAGGTTAGCGTGCTCCTTGGGTTTGTTCTTCGGGTGAAATTTTTTGCCTAAAGCACAAATCCTAGGAGGTACCTGAGACCCTGGTGGATGCCTGTGAAAAGTACCGAGAAATCGGGTGCAATACCCAGGCAGGCAAGTACGGAGAGAAGTTTGCTTAGGAGTGCGATTAAATACTACTGTGACTGTGCGTTTGATGGGTATATTTCAGTGAAAGAAGCAATGCGAGTTTCTGTTTCCCCCGGGGGAAAAAAGCTGGATACTTTATCATTCAATTTTATTATCAAAAGAAGACAATTTCAGTGACTGAGCACAAGGAAATATCTTTCACATTAAAAAATGCATATTTTACCCAAGGGCAGCCTGTTCAGTAGGATGTTGATTCATTATGGGTGAGGATGTGAAGTGTGAGGAAATTTAAAGCCCATTAGCAATGTGCTAAGTGGCTCTGTGGAGGGATGGTACAACACAGTTTTGTTCAGGGCTGTGATTGTAAGCAGTTATGTTATATCTTAACTCTGCTGAAATGAAGGTTCCACTAGGTTGTGCCTTGGGGGGTAGATAGGACAGAAACAGAATATTCAAAATAACTCAGAAACAGCACAGGAGGTCGAATTCCGGGGTTGGGAAAGGCACTGCCAAAGCCAGTGTTTCTTTCTTACGAAGTATGCAACTAAAATGGTGAAGCTTTCATGACTTTTCTTAAAGCATGATTTACCTTTTCTTACTTTATCAGGTCCAGACACTGCCCTTGACTTTTGTGATCTTACGTAACCCCTTCCTGCCTGTCCACTCTGATTTCCAGCACATTAAACGCTGTACACTCCTTGATTTAATCAGACAGGCATCCTTGCTGCTCCAGGAACAAGCCAACCTTCCTGTTCCCTCCAAGCTTGCCTCAAGTAGTGACCTGCCCCTTCCTAAATGCTAGTTCTCAAGGCCCCTCCAGCAGTCTTCTTTAATTACTAATTACCTTTATTTTATTTTTTTTTTGGAGGAAGATTAGCCCTGAGCTAACATCCGCTGCCAATCCTTCTCTTTTTGCTAAGGAAGACTGGCCCTGAGCTAACATCCGTGCCCATCTTCCTCTACTTTATATGTGGGATGCCTACCACAGCATGGCAAGAAGTGTCCGCACCCGGGATCCGAACATGCGAATGCCCGGCGGCCGAAGCGGAACGTGTGCTCTTAACCGCTGCACCACTGGGCCGGCCCCGGCTAATTATCTTTACCTACTTATTCATCTCTCTCTCCTGTGACTTAGGACTTCGAACTTAGCATCTGTCCTTCACTGCTTAGTGAGCCCACATGTATGTAAACATGTATGCCATGTTGTTTTGTACACATAAACAGTCATATACACAATACACAATGTTTTTGCCTGCTCTTGCCATGGTGCTCCCACTTAGATTGTTATATTATTGTGGGCAGGCAGAAGCCGGTAATCTACCCCCGGTCTGAAGAGTAGCTGGTAACAGTCTAGAATTTCACGCTTGGGTTGTACACTCCACTTGTCTGCCTTCCTGGTGCCATGAAATACAGCCGTCAGCTTGGTCTCATTCTCAGAGCCTGGGGCCTTTCTAATTTTCTGTCTGGGACTGCTATTTGAGTTAATAGTTCTGATTGTTTTAAAATCTCGACCCTCTCTAGCCTTGGTTTACACTGTAAGGCAGTGAATTTTGCAAGTGATTTTAGGAAGACTGTTGGTTGGGGCAGAAGAGGATAGTGCTCCTGAGTCAGACTGCCTGGGTTTAAACCCTGACTGGGTCACCTGGCACAAGTTACGAAACTGATTTGTGCCTTAATTTCCTTATCTGTAAATTGGGGTGATCATAGTGTGCACCTCAAAGGGTTGCCGTGAGAAATGAAATGAACTAATCCATGTAAAGTGCTTGGTATAGTCTGACGCACAGTAAATACCCAATAAACGTTAGTTCTTATTAATTATCGTTGTTATTCTTCTGAGCATGTGAATATGAGTGGACTGGTCTTTTGTGGTTTGGTGTCATTCTGGTATCGTTTCAATATAACAATATTTGGGAAGAGCAGCTTATAATGGATGTGTGGAGCAGTGATGTGTGTGCGTATGGGTGCCTGCGTGTTCTTTCCTACGCATCGGAAGGTCTAGTTTGAAATCTTTTTTTGTTGTTTAAATGCGACGTTCAGTGGTTTTTAGGGTATTTACAAAGTGTGCAGTCCTCACCACTATCTAATTCAGAACATTTTCATCACTCCGAAAAGAAACATCATAGCTGTCACTTGCCGCCCCGCCCCCAACTCCCCAGACAACCAGTAATCTACATTCTATCTTTACAGATTTGCCTGTTCTTGACCTTTTGTATGTATAGAATCATAAGATACGTGGCCTTTTGCATCTGGCTGCTTTCACTGAGCGTGATGTTTTCAACTTTCAGCATGTTGTAGCGTGTATCAGCACGTCATTCCTTTCTACAGTTGAATAATATTCCATTGTGTGGATAAATTACATTTTATTGATGGGCATTTGGGTGGTGTTTACTTTTTGGCTCTTCTAAGTAATGCTGCTGTGAACATTGGTGTATAAGGTGTTGGGTGGGCATATGTTTTCTATTCTCTCGGGTATATACGTAGGAGTGGCGTTGCTGGGTTAGACCGTAATTCTCCATTCAACTTTTGGAGAAACTGCTGGACTGTTTCCCACAGTGGCTTGTTTGAAATCTTGATGTGGTGGAATCATGTGGCCAGGTGGTCTTAATTTTTAGTTTATTGAGAACTTCATTCTTCATGTCATCTTATTTATTTTCATTTATAAAACAAGATTTTGTACAGACACCCCTCTCTCCCAACCACATCCTTTGCTCTGTCATTAAAACAATGGGTTTCAGGTTTTATTTCACGCCCCAAGGTAACGGTGCCTGCAAGAGGTGTGGTCAGAGATGAACGATGTTTGTTATTTGTGTGCATGGTCAGCTCCAGTCTTTTTCCAAAATGCACCAGGATTCTTGTTAGTTCATGAAAGACAACTCTTGGTCCCATCTCATTCGCCATCTGCCGATGCCACCCATGTTTTTGTCCTTGCTCCTTTTGCTTTTCCTGGACCCCTGGACCTGAAGGGCATGCCTGTCTCTTGTCTGGTTTGCATCTGTATTTCTCTCTGTCCCACTAGTTCTTTCTTTCTCCTTTCTCTAGAAATATGCAGAGGCCTCCCCTGACTGAAAATTCATCCTGATACTGCCTTGCCCTTCAGCTATATCCTCTGCTTCCTGTGTGTCGGGCACAAATGACTTTAAAGAGTAGTCAGCTATGCCCGCCACTTCCCTCTTCACCACCCACTCACTGTGAAATCTGATTTCTGCCTCTTGTGTGATTACATGAAAGTTGCTCTCTTGAAAGCTACAAGAGAAAGCAATCTGGTGTTCTTTTCTCGGTGTACACAGAATACTTCTGCGCCGCCCGTCCGTGCCTCCTTTCGCATGCCCTCTGTCCCTGGCTTGTCTGATTCTGCATCCTCTGTGTCTGCTGTGGTCAGTCTGTGGTGCTGCTTCCTCTCCTGGTGTCTTTGCCATTACTGTCAGCTAGACATCTTTTTGTTTTCCCTACTTCCCTAAGATGCTACTCAGTTTTTAAGGCCCATTTCAGTTGCTACCGAAAGTCTCCCAGGCAGTTGTGGAGTCTCTTTTCTTCCCCTTTCCTCCTCGGGTCCCTCACGGCCTTCTGCCTGGGGTTGCAGTAAGAAGGCGGTTGCGCTAACCCCTCCCATCAGAGGTGCTGATCTAGACTGGAGGCACCAAATCTGCCACCCCTCAGTATCCCTGTTGTGCCCAGCGCAGTGCTCGACATGGAGTAAGAACTGAACAAATACTTGCTGATTAATAAAAAGTATAATAATAGCTGTTCATTTATTGTTCTTTCTATGTGTAAACTTAAAAAAAGAGTTTAAAACAAAATGTTATGAAAAATGACGGAGCAAACACCCATATCCCCAGCACCCACCTAGGAAAACATTAGCAAGAGAGAAAACATTAATAACAACGTTAACAATTAAGCCCCACATATCCCTCCATGAATGCGCCCCCTCCCATCTCCGAAGGTGACCTCTACATTGCGTCTGTTTAGTGTTATTGACTTTATAGGAATGGGGTATACGGCAGAAGTGAGATTTCTCTACATGCATTCTGTCATTTAATTGTCGCTCTGACCAAATGAGATAGGTGTTGTTTGTCCCATTTTATAGATGAGGAACCTAGGGATTAGAGAGTTTAAAGAATTAATTCACAATCACAGTTGATAAGTCAGAGAGCCAGAAAGCGAATCTATGTCTGTCTGACTTCAAAGTCCACGCCTTGCGTTGTAGAAAATTCAGAAAACTACCAAATATTTTCAAAAAGTCACTTATCTACGTACTAGGAACTGGTGGACATCACCAGCCCTCACTCCTGCCCATCATGGCCTCCTGCTCCTTTCCTCTTCCTGTCCTTCATTTCGTGTGATTCTTCTGCCTGGATGTGGACGCAGCCTGGCCCTATGAACCAGCCCAGCGGGAGTCCGGAGACCTGAGTCCTGAGTACCAGCTGCTAACCAGCTGTGAGATTTTGGAGAAGTGTCTTAACTTCCTTGAACCATAGTTTTTTCTCCTGTAAAATGAAAGGTCAGGTTTTAATGTGCCATCTTGGAGGGCTGTTCCAGACTTGACCCAGATTGTCCTCTTTCTGTGGGCTTGTGTCAGCTGAAATTCTGCTTGACGTGGAATCCAGGGGCAGGAGGTGTCTGTAGTGCTGGAAGGAGCCGGAGGCCCAGGAACGTGAATCATGCCCATTTGTCAGACTCTTCAGCTGCCCAGGGCTGCTTCAGCAGCCAGGAGATGAGTAGCCATTTCTAAC